GAGAAGAAACTCGGGTATGACCTGAAGAAGAATGGATTTATACCTCACTTTATGGACAAATAATCATGCAAGCTTGTCATGAAAAGAAAGAGGACGAGACTACGAGCGTCTGGGATCAAACGGCGACTGATTCGGAGTCCGGACGAGGGAGAAACGAAGCATTAAACAGAGGCTGAGCAAGCCACATGGGCACAACCCACACGGCCGTGTGGCCTGGCCGTGTGAGTGGGGAATTGCTATTTAAAACCCGATTTTCAGCAAAAGGAAAGGGGGAGAGCTGGGTTTTGGATCCCAAACACCCAAGGGACGAACCCTAGAGAGAGAGAGCGACTTGGGAACATTCTTGGAGCTATTTTGGAGGATTTCTTCGCCATTGGAGCTCGGGAATCAAGCTTGGAGATGGAGATTGAAGATCTAGATCAGATTTCTGCAGTCTCTCTCTTCTCTATGGAGTAACTTCCCTTCACTTAGGTTTTGAGGAACCTTAGTTCCATGAGTTAGGATCTTTCTTGTATGAAGTTTTGGATGCTATATTGTTTGATTATAATCGAATGATGCATGTTTATTGAGTCAATTGAAGTCTGATCAACTTTTCCTGATTTCTGCTGCAACCTGAGATAGATAGAATCTGATTAGGTTGTTAGAGCCTCATCATTGTTTAATCAACAGTAAAACAACCAAAAGGAATTACAACCTGGACCTAATTGAGGAGCTAGGGGGAATCATACCTAAGTGAGTTCCCAAACTGTAATTAGTAGTTTTACTTAGTTGAGTTAATAGAGTAGTTTAGTTAATCAACCCTTAATCTAGTTTGCTAGATAATGAACTGAAGCTGAGTAATAGTAACTCTAGAGACCCGTGGATTCGATATTTATTACTTGTGCCACTATACTGCAGTCCCTTTCTGCGATTACACTTGGTCGCAGTGTGGTGTTGTGTTTTAGAGCAGTCACTAGCATTGATGTTGTCTTCAAGCAGATTGTTCAGCTTGAGAAGCAAATGAAGTGTGTCAACAAGAGCAAAGGAGTGGAGTCAGTAGCACTTGCAGCAGCATCCAACCACAACAAACAAGGATCTCAACACCCACAAACCAGTGATAGAGACTTCAAGAATGGGAAAAAGTTTTGCAGGTACTGCAAGAAGGACTATCACACTGTGGTTAAATGTCTTAACTTGAAAAACAAAAAGGCAAGAGAAGCTGGAGGAGGCAGTTTTGATGGTTCAATGGAAACAGGAAATGAACCAGAAGGTGGTCATGGGGTCCTAGCTACTTCTGCTTCAGTGAAGAGAAGCTCTGACTTGCAAACCAAAGATGGAGGTTTGGCAAGCTTACAGTTGAGCAATGAACAAATGGAAAAACTAAGGATGCTTCTGCTGGGATCTCCTCCACCATCACCTTCTCCACCAACATCACCTTCAATCAGACACTCTGCCAATGCTGTTGTGACTCAATATCAACCAGTGCACCTTCCTTCAAGTTTAGGTACTACAGTCTTGTCTACACTCTTAGCCAATACTGCAGAACCACTTTGGGTGCTTGATACTGGGGCAACAGACCATATAGTCTGTAATTTGAAGTACTTCTTGAAATACAAACCCTTAAATGGGATACATGTCAATCTACCTAATGGAAATAGTGTCCAGGCCACACACATAGGAGTTGTCAAACTTCCCTGTGACTTGTTTCTTTCCCAAGTCCTATTCGTGCCAAGTTTTTCTTACAATTTGGTTTCAGTTAGCTAACTTACCAAAACAAACCCTGTCTCACTCTTGTTCAAATCCTCTTTCTGTGTTATACAAGACCTTATTACACAGAGGAGGATTGGTTTAGCCCAGGTCGATAAGGGTCTATATCTGTTCAACCACAAGCAGGACACTACCAATTCCCTACATAAGTGCTTTGCCACAACTCACCTCAACTTTCAGCCTCAGAATTTTGATCTTTGGCATGCCAGACTTGGCCATCCCTACATAGCTAAAGTAGAAGCTATACACAAACAGTTTCCAAATGTCATACCTTCACAGATAGTTCATTGTAATGTTTGTCATTTGGCAAAACAAAAACGTCTGCCTTTTCCTTCCAGTTCTTCTGTCAATCCCACTTTGTTTGGTCTGTTACATGTGGATATTTGGGGGCCTTTGAGCACTCCATCTTACAATGGCTTTAGCTATTTTTTTACAATCGTTGATGATTGTAGTAGATGTGTGTGCACCTACTTAATGAAAACTAAAGATGAAACCAGAAACTTGCTTCAATCCTTCTGTGTTATGGTTCAGAATCAGCTCCAAAAATCTGTCCAGATTATTAGATCAGATCAGGGACAGGAGTTTCATATGGATGAGTTTTACAAGTTGCATGGGATTGAGCACCAAACGAGTGTGGTTTACACACCTCAACAGAATGGGAGAGTTGAGAGGAAACACCAACATCTCCTCAATGTTGCTAGGGCTCTCAAGTTTCAATCATGACTCCCATTGTCATATTGGAGTGAGTTTGTTCTCCATGCTGCCTTCCTCATCAATCGTTTACCTACTCCAATTTTGAGCAACAAGTCACCCTTTGAGATGCTATATGGTTTTCCCCCAGATTATAGCACACTTAAGGTATTTGGTTACCTTGTTTATGCCTCTACTGCAGGACCCCATAGAACAAAATTCACACCCAGAGCCAAACAATGTGTATTTTTAGGGATCCCAGTAGGCATTAAAGGTTTCAAGTTGCTTGATCTTGAAACCAAGAGAGTTTTCATTTCAAGGGATGTTCATTTCTATGAACACATCATCCCCTATGCAGCCTCATCCTCTCCTGATCCCAATCCTTCCTCCACTGACTTCTTCCCTCCATCCGGTCCTTTTCCCATGCCATCTACCACTTACACACCCTCCATTCCAAACCAATTTAGTGAACCACCAGTTTCAGTAGATCATCAGTTCGAGGGGGCATCCACACTCCCTTGCCCTCTCATTCTTCCTCCTCTCATCCTGATGATCCACTATCTACTCCTACCATTTCCCCCATTCCCTTTTCACTACCCTCTTCTCCATCTCCCCCTACATCCCATGATTCAACTCCTGCTGTCCTTTCACAACCACACTCATCACCTACTCCACCCCTTGCCCAAAGAAAGCCCACCAGAACAACTAAACCACCCAACTGGCATGATGATTATTATGTCCAGTACCCCATTAGCAAAGCCATGTCCTATAGTCAACTTTCACCCAAACACCAACACTTCATAAACACCCTTGTTACCTATACTGAACCAACCTCTTATGAGGAAGCTATCAAAGATCCAAACTGAAATAAGGCAGCACAGGATGAATTGAAGGCTCTGTGTGACAATGGGACATGGGAGATTAAGTTTCCACCACCTGGAAAGAAGATCATTGGAAACAAATGGGTGTGGAAGTTGAAGTTAAACTCTGATGGAACAATAGAGAGACATAAAGCAAGAGTGGTAGCAAAAGGTTTCACCCAAATCTATGGTATTGACTACCGTGACATTTTTCACCAGTAGCAAAACTGAGTTCTGTGAAAACTTTACTGGCAGTGGCAGCTACACAAGGGTGGCACTTACATCAAATGGATGTAAGTAATGCCTTTCTAAATGGGGATCTAACTGAAGAGGTTTATATGGAAATTCCACCTGATTTAGATGATCAAGCAGCTAAAGAAGGGAAGGTTTGCCACCTGAAAAAGTCAATCTATGGACTTAAGCAAGCAAGCAGGCAATGGTACATGAAGCTAACAGAAAGCTTGTTGAGAAATGGATTCAAACAATCTGCTTGTGATTATTCCATTTTTACTGCTCAGATTCTTGGAGAGTTGGTTGTACTCATTGTTTATGTAGATGACATTTTAATTGGGAGCATCAGTTTAGAGGCAATCAACAAGACCAAGGGTCTACTAAAGGGTGAGTTTAAGATGAAAGATCTGGGGGAATTGAAATACTTCCTTGGATTGGAAGTTGTAAGAGGAGTAAAGGGGATCTCTGTATCCCAGAGAAAGTACTGTCTTGATCTCTTAGCTGAGTTAGGATTTCAAGACTGCAAGCGAGCTACTACTCCCATCTATTTAAAGGAAGTACTATCAGCAGAGGGAGGTGTTCCTTTGGGGAACATTGGTGAGTACAAACACCTAGTAGGACAGCTGCAGTACCTCACCACCACCAGACCTGACATTAGTTTTGCTGTACAGCAGCTTTGTCAGTTCCATGATAACCCTACATCCCTACATTTAAGGGCACTACATAGGGTTCTCAGATATCTAAAGAGCTCACCAGGACAGGGGTTGCTCTATCCAAAAGAGAATACTCTTGCTCTTACAGGGTTCAGTGACTCAGACTGGGCAACTTGTCCTGATTCAAGGAAGTCTATTACTGGTTAATGTACTTTCCTTGGGTCTGGAATTGTTACTTGGAAGAGCAAGAAGCAGAAGACAGTGTCAAGGTCGTCTTCTGAAGTAGAGTACAGGGCTTTGGCTAGCCTAAGCTGTGAAATTGAGTGGCTAATCAGATTGCTGAGGGACTTTGGAGTCAAACATGAACATCCAGTCAAAGTCTACTGTGACAACCAGTCCGCAATCCACATCGCAGAAAATCCAGTATTCCATGAAAGAACGAAACATATTGATGTGGATTGCCATGTGATCAGGGAACGTGTTCAATCTGATTTGATCTATCTTCATCATATGCCAACTGAATCACAGCTAGGAGACATCTTTACAAAAAGCTTACCTATTGATCGTTTTGCTCTTCTGTTATCCAAGCGGGGAGTATATGACCTATACTCGCCAGCTTGTGGGAGGGTAACAGAGAGGATGGATGATTCTCCTTGCAGCAGCCTTGCTGTGAAGAAGAATGGAGGCTCCGCTGCAGATGAAGAACGAAGAACAAAGAAGAATGCAGAGCCTCAAACGGTGACGTTTGCAGAGAAGAAGAATGGAAGTGAAGTGCAGCATTTTGGCTAACAGCCTTGTTTCCGATGTTACTGTATCATTTACGCGTGTATAGCATTCATTGGTTATTTTCATTTGTTAGTTGTAGTTACCGTTAAGTATAATTAGTAGCTTGTATATAAGCTGATTCATCGTCAATGGAAAGCTCTAACGAGCATTTCCCTCAAAACTCTGATTCTTCTCAGATTATACCCTATCTACACTAATGCAGCGGAATGCACTTCATTACAGGAAAAATTCTTTAGGATTGCAAATATACATATCGCCAAAAAGAAAGGAACATCCTTTTTACGTTTGTGTACAAACCAAAAACACTTCCTAGTAAACTTCCACATTCCACTGCTCAGCCTTCTTCAGCTGCTTCTTGTAATCAAACCAATCAATTCCTGCCAACAAAGGAGAAACACAAAGGTTAAAAGTGAAACCTTTAGGACCAACAAGCAAACATATTTCGCAACATCGGAATTTTTCTAAAGCTTTACCATCCTTAGCAGCCAAGCCGACCATAATGTCATCAATGCCCTTCTCCATTCCCTTCAGTCCACACATGTACACGAATGTGTTATCTTTCTTCAGTAGCTCCCACAGCTCTTCCGCGTATTGAGCCATGCGCGTTTGGATGTACATCTTTTCGCCCTTCTCATTGGTTTGCTCTCTGCTGACTGCAAAGTCCAGCCTGAAGTTTTCAGGTGCCTTCTCCTTCATCTTCTCAAACTCCTGCTCGGGCCGAAGTTGAATAAAGATTTGGCGGAGTGTAGGGGTATGGAATCTCATAATAGTTGAAAAGGGTTTTCGGTTAACTATACCTCCTTGTAGAGCAATGAGCTGCTAGTGGGAACTCCAAGGAAAAGCCAAGCGAGACCATTGAACTAAAAAAATTGTTGGCAGAAATTTAGCAGTCTATCTATTTCAGTATTTGACAGTATTGTCATCAGCAGATATGCATTTGAACATCCGGATGACATCAACTTAGTTGACACATTAACAGAGTGGCTTGGAAAGAAAGAAAACAACTGGCATTCAGTTTGTACCTTGTAGTCCTCATGCTTCTCAAAGAACATTTTCCACAAGAACGATCTGAAGGGTGCAATGCCGGTCCCAGTCCCGAGCTGCAAAGAAGAGGAGTTCAATGCAGAAAAGGCATGAGAATCTACTGGAACCCATATAGGTAGCTGAAATTGGCATAAACATGAAGAATGCATAAGAGCATGTTACCATGATAATTGTAGCATTAGGGTCTTTTGGCATAAGCATTTCCTTACCAACTGGTCCTGTGATTGTAACCTCTGAGCCGGGCTTCAGATCACCTGGAGTCAACCACAAACGAATACCAGAATATCTCAGAAGCCTAAAAAAGCTCTAACCGAACTGACCCATATTCCTAATTGGATACAGAATATTTTATTCTGCTCACGGGCTTACACAAGAAATTTGAGCAGACTCCCTTAACAGTCTCTCCTTGGTCATTAACGTAAACAAGCCTCTTTACACAAAGGGACACCTGAAAATGATGATTGCAATTAGAAAGATTCCAAATTCAAGTGAACATGCACTCAAGTTGGACAATAGTACCGTACGTGAAACAAACGAGATGTAAATGTTTTTAATTGTAGGGAAACCACTATCCATTTCGTTTACTTAAAGTAGAAGGAGAAGAATAAGAAATAGCCTACAGTTTTGGAGTCGCCGAAATCACCGATAGCACTGCTGGCAATTGAATACAATCTAAGCTTGTGTGGCTTCCCATTCTTGTCAATGCCCTCTGGAATAACTCCAATCGACTGCCCTTCTCTGTATGGCACCTCCCCTGATTCGGCCAAAGAAAAAGAGAAAGAACCCATTTGATTCAGTGGAAGGAACGCATATGAAACAATAACTATAGCTAGCGACCATGTCTCCAACATATAACAAATAAAAACAGATATGGCACGGCACACCTTCAGTGCTGAAAACCATGTGCCAGGTCTCTCCAGGGGCATCATCGCCAGTGATCTTGGTGTTGAGAAGGCATCTCCCAATGTAAGGCTCCTTGGGTTTGAACTTGTTCACGGTCACACCTTCTTCTTGTTTCTTGGACTCCTTCTTGACCTTAGCAGGAGCTTCGGTCGTGACTTGGGCTCTCACTGAAACCAGTCCCCTGCTTCTGCTTCCATTAGGCACATAAGATGCCTGACGAAATGCAAAGAAGACAAGAAGATGGAAAACCCATGTAAGGAAACGAGTAGGAGCAAAAGTGGAAATAGATCAGAGAGATGAGTGAGGGAATCCGTGATCAGGAAGTTATAACCTTCTTGAAGGTGATTCTTTCGTGGGTGAAGACTATGGAGGTTCTGGAAGAGAATGGGGATGACTTGGAAGAGGGAAAAGAGACTGCAGCGGAAGTCACTGCAGCTGCCATAGTGGTGATTGCGAGTGTGGGAATGTGAGGGAAGGATGAAGAGAAGAGATATGGAAGTGGTGGAGGGAGAGTGAAAGGGGATCAGTAATGTTGGGTTTGTATGTTTTGTGTTAAGGAGATTACGCGATTGCGTGGACGAGATTTCGGTGGCAATGCAGTGGCTCTTGTGAGGATAAGTCTACGCAATTCGCAAAGAGTATGATATACGACTCCTTTGTCGCTCTCGATCAAAACGACGGCGTGGCAATGATTTTGTTCTTAGTTTTCTACCAAACGCTTCACTGTGATGATGTCCCACAGAATGATCTTACAATAGTCAATACGCATGATCACTGATCCTTCTCGGGACAAATCAAATTTACCATAACATTGAATTCTCTTTGTACCATAAAAAGAAAGGGAGAGGATATGGTGACCACATCTATTGTGTTGTTATGGTGTCTATTTTGTAGTGTAAATAGCGACAACATTAGTTTTCAACCCATAGAAAATTAGAATCGTGATTACATTTTGTTAGCTAGATTAGCTTAGTGTAAAATCAATTAAAGGGTATAGTAGTCATTGTGAATATTATGATTAAACAACCAATAAAAAATAAAACTAATAAGAAAAATAAAATATTTTTAAAATTAATTTTTTTATATTTTTTATCCTAATTTTTCTGTCACCGTGTCGGAATATACTCACTTTCATTAGAATCTGTCCACTACGCTCGGAGTATGCTCAATATCGCCAGAATATACTCAATATTGCTAGAATCCGGTCAGCGTGGCTGGAATATGCTTATGGGTGCCGGAATTCGGCCACCGAGAGTCATCAAAGTTTGGTCAACGTTCTTCGGTAACCAGTCAATGATCAACGATCACCGGATATTGTTGTCTACAATGTGAGATTTATGGTTTGCCTTCTCAGGTTTTTTGTATGCCTTTTGTGGTATGCTTTATCGTGTTTGTGAGCTGCATTTAGAGTTTTTTGTGTGCTTTCGAATTATTTGTTGTTTGCTTTGTGCAGTTTTTGGTCTTTTGATTCGCGCCTAATTGCACACAGTTTATCCCCGTTTTCCTTGGGCATTTGTAGGATTTGGACTCCCAAAAGGGTGGTTTTACGCTAGATTTTGTGCGTTTTAGTGTATTTCAGGATCCAACAGGTGAAACCGTCCCCGCAATCAAAAGTTGGACATAAAGAGGCAAAACCCGGGCAAAGATGGTGATCCAGGGGCAGTTCACAGTTTATCATGGGAGTTCACGGTCCACTATGACCGTGAAATGAAGCCCAAAACCGTGAACCGCGATGCATGCAGGGAGAATTCTACAGTTACTAGAGCGGGACGAGTTCACGGTCAACAAGACTGTGAAAATTGAGGCCAAACCATGAACTCCTGAGGGCGAAGCGGTGCGGTTCGACGTCGCGCTCTGTGTTCACGGACGCATTGAAGAGTTCACGGTCGTGAACTGAGGTCGTGAATTGAGCCTGATCCTGGTATATAATGTGAGCTGAAAGGAAGAGAGAGGGGGAGCCCAAAGTGTGAGAAAGTGTCTTCTTCAGGTTTTAGAGAGAGAAAGGACGAACCAAGAAAGAAAGCAAGGCTAGGGTTTGCTCTAAGTGGTGAATTGGGAAGATTCTCCCCAAGATAAGATCAATACAAGCTCAAAGGAGATTGTAGGCATCACCATGATGATTTCTACCTCTTCTTCTTGTGTTCTTCCCCTTCCTAGCATGGAGTAGTATTCTTTTTTACTTGGGTGTTGTGAAACCCTAACTATTTGTCATGTAGTTGTTGGGTGAATTGAATGATTGTTTATGGGTGTTGATTAATTTAATGATTGAGGTATTTTTCATGTTGATTGTGTATGTTTGTGCTTAGCAATCCAATTGGCCACTCTAACCTAGATGAGAAGGAAAACCCCCTTTCAAGGGAGGCTCAATTGAGTTGGGATTCCTTGGGCTTTTTAAGCCACCTATCTAGGTTAATGTAGGGTAAACCTCTATGTTGAATTAAGCAATTTGGTTAAGCGCGATTAAGCCGACCAACCATTGGGTTGAGTGAGAGAGTATGTCGACATCGATTGCCTTAACCAAGAGGGCTACTTGAGTAGCCTATAATGTATCCCTTGGTTTGGAAAACGAGAGTGTGGTCTACGACCATAATTGCGTTTCCTAGCGGTTCACGGTCACCTTGCCCGTAACAATTAATTCAATTCCTCGTGCCATGGTAGTAGTTAGGGGGAAGCGACATCCGAGTGATCCTTCTCACGTAGATCTTTCAAACTCGTTTATTTTTGCCTTGCTTAACTTTAATTATAAATCTTTGCAACCAAATCTGATTCGCTAGATAATGTGTGAAACAATTGAAGTAGGGGTACATGGACCGGCCCGAGTCGATATTTAAACATACTTGCCCTGTATTGCACCCTACTAAGGTTTATAGTTTAAGAAAATAATCGGAGTATCTCTTCCAAGCATCCCCTAAGGTCCCTTCTTCTTCTTGCTCGAAATGGGTGATCATCTTTCTCCACTCGGTCGTCTTCGAAGGCGGGTAGTAGCGGGTCATGAATTTGTTGAGAAGATCGTCCCGTGAGGTGATTGAACGAGGTGGGCTATTGTTTAGCCACCGGATTGCTTTCCCCGCAAGTGAATAGGGTAAAAGCCTCAGTTGTAAAGCTTCAGCCGGCATGCCATTGATTTTCAAGCTCGCTGCGAGCACCAGTAATCTCTGCACATGTTCCCTTGGTGACTCGCTCGGAAGACCGTGGAATAAAGCATTGTTTTGTATCATAGTCACTAGAGCCGTCTTGATCTCGGAATTGTTGGCCGCCAGGGGAGGGTGCAAGATTGGCGATTGAATGTCAGCTGGCCATGGGGCCATATAGTATCCCATTGTCCTCAAGGCTTCCTCTTTTTGCCGTCGCATCGTACAGATTATGTGCTTGTCCCCTTCCTTCACTCCTTCTCCTTGCCTCTGCTAGCTCTTACTCCGGGTCATGCACCACCTACACACAATCAGAAAACAACACCAAGTCTAGCACAAGCAAAGCAAACACACTTTTAAAACTGGAAATTAAAAGCTAGATTAACACCAAACAACTTTTTCCAGATAACAGACTGTTATCCCCGGCAATGGCGCCAAAAACTTGACTATTCTCGAATACCACAATTAACTTCCGCCTAAGGTCCAAGTATAAACCTTAGTCGCGAGAAGTACAGGGCAAGTATGTTTAAAAATCGACTTGGGCCGGTTCGTATACCCCTACTTCAGTCATTAAAATCATTATCTAGCGACAAGGTTTTGGTTGAAAAGTTTGCTAATTAAAGTAAAACAAGGTAAAAGTAAATGGTTGTGAAAGCTCTTTGTGAGAGGATCACTCGGGTGTCGCTTCCCCCTGACTACTACCATGCTATGTGAATCGAAATGATTGTTATGGCCAAGGTGACCGCGAACCGCTAGGGGACGTAAATATGGTCGTCGACCACACTCTCGATAGCCAAACCGAGGGATACATTATAGGCTGTCACTCTGCCCTCTCGGTTTAGGCAATCGATGGTTAACTTACTCCCTCACTCAACCCAATGGTTGGTCGGCTTAATCGTGCTTAACCAAATTGTTTAATCCAACATCGAGGCTTGCCCTAAATTAACCAAGATAGGTGACTTAAAAAGCCCTAGGAACGCCAACTCAATTGAGCCTCCATTGAAAGGGGGTTTCCCTCTCTAGTCTAGGTTAAATTGGCCAATTAGATTGCTAAGCACAAACATGCACAATCAACATGAATCATACCTCAATCATTGAATCAAACAACACCCATAAACAATCATTCAAGTCACATAACAAAAAATACATGGTAAATAGTTAGGGTTTCACAAAACCCAAGTGAAATAGGAAACTACTCCATGCTAGAAATGGGAGAAACACAAGGGGAAGAGGTAGAAACCATCATGGACAGGCTTCCAAACTTCTTGGCTCTTGTGCTGAACTTCTCTTGGGGAGAATCTTCCCAAATGATCACTTGGAGCAAAACCCTACCCTTCTTTCTCCTTTGGTTTGTCTTTCTCTCACTAAAATCTGAAGAAGAAGACTTTCTCAAGATGGGCGTCGAAATGCACCGCTTCGCTTGCACGGGCTCAAGGGAAACAGCTCCAGTTCACGGTATTAGTGACCGTGAACTCAATTAGCATCAGTAACTTGAGATTTGGCCTTGGACGCCTTGAATTTCACGGTCAACAGGTCCTCTTCACGGTCTAAGCAGACCGTGAACATCCAAAAAAAGCCGTGAACTGCCTTCTTTTCACCTCTTCTCCCGGTTTTCGTTCGTTTTCACCCAACTTTCGACTCCGGGGCTAGTTTCACATGTTAGATCCTGAAACATGCTAAACACAAGAAACCTCGCGTAAAACCACCCTTATAGGAGCACAATTGCCACAAATGCCTAAGGAAAATGAGGGTAAAATATGTACACTTAGGCCCAAATCAGGAAACTCGACTTCGCACAGTTCGACGGGCTTCATTGTGGTGATGTTATGAGGGAGGCTGTGGTGCACCCACAATGGCGCCAACTCCTTGATCTCAAAGATGACATTTACGGGGAACTGTGCGTCGAGTTTTTCGGCACCTTCACCGTCCTCAAGACCAAATGCCTACTCGGCCATCCAATACGCTAGGTCAAGTTCTAGTTGGGAGGGGAATGTCGCATTCTGAGCTACGATGGGTTAGCCAGAGCCCTAGGAGTTAAAGCCAAACATGAGGACGATTGGGAGGAATACGCCATCAAAAGTTGCGATATGAATGCAACATTGCTGAAGTTTTGCCTTCCGGAGTAAGGAAGGAAAAGATTTAGGTCGGCCCTCATAGTGGCATCTACACTCCAACCCCAGTGGCGTGTCATCGTTGAACTCCTGGCTCGTTCCCTCTACCCGACCTACCACAACATGAACAAGATAACCGAGAGAATCTTATTGGCTTGTTCTTGCATGGTGGATCCTTCTAGCACTCTGCATCTATGTTCAGTCATAGCCACTTCTTTTGCCAGGACTAGAGGGGGAAACCTTTGTTATGTCATGTCGATGGGTCCCTACATCAGCCTCCTTGCTCGCCACTTTAAGGTCAGGCTTGCAGGGTGCTCGAGAGAAGGGCGCACCTAGGGGTTTGATGAGATCACCTTGC